GTACTTTTACAATAAGTCCTGGATGTATTCTTATTCCTTAATCTCACCGGCTTAGCAAGGGATTGAATGTATTTGGATCGCTTTTATGGAAAAATAAATATTGTATCTTGAACAACCAAAAGACCTGGCCCCGGTTGTTCGAAGGATGGATAACGCTATACAGTGGATAAATCTCTATCCGGTGGATAGCACAGTACGTTCTGGTAACACTTATCCGCTGGATAGCGATTTATCCGTTGGATAGCGTTATCCGCTCTTAGAACAACCGGAGCCTGATGTCTTCCTAAAGCCACTGAATGCTGGTTAACGTAATGTTATGATAAGTAGTAAAGCAATCGAAAAGCTTTGTATCAGCACGTATCCTAAATCCTCGAGGTCTAGTAACCGACAGCAATTTTACATGTTACTTCAACCACGTATCAAGTCAGCACACGAACCAACAATAAATACTACCCACTTGAACGGTGTTTATCTTACTGTCAAGTTATAATTTTTAAGTACAAACGCGATCTATAAAATACAGATAATTACTGACCTGTTGCTATTCGAAACATTAAACTGATATTGTAAATGCAGACTATCAATCGTTTTGGCAAGCGAGCTGTAAGCTTTGTTATACTAATTGATACGTTTTCACGCAACTTGTGACAAAGAGGTGGTATTATCAAATTTAATTATTTATACGATATCGGCCGGAGGTCACTGTCTACGAGGTATTTTCTGTCTAAACAGGACATTCTACAGCATGTCATCCTGGCCGCGCGAATGTTCTCCAAGGACTGGAGAGACCGAGTCTTGCTGATCTGCTGAACGTAAGGCTTCACGGGCGAGAAAGTTCTCTCTCTTGACTTGATTATCAACTTCCTTTGGAACATCCGGGATAATCCAAGCCAAAATTGCCGTTAAACCAAACACGATGTGCTGCGCAAAATGACAAAAGATATAGGACGGTCGGTTAACCAGAAGAAAAAAAGCGAGTGCGAGGGAGTTTTCTTCAACTAAACCTTTCTTTTGTTATTCGTCCTTTTCAAATGTTCCACAGAACTGCGACAAGAATCATCAAGGAAACAAACAGGAGCAGTCT